GATACAGAGTTTCTGTATAGAAATGAAAATATTAGAATGGTTTAGATATTTGTTACCGTCTGTAGAGTTCTTTGGATTTGATGATCTGTCAACCATATTGAGATAAGCAGAGAAAATAAATCAAGTATTTTGTAAAGGCAAAACAAATACAAATTTACTTATCCTTATATAGATATTAACATGAGAAGACGTTTTAAATGAGAATAGAATATGAACAGTTGGGGACCCAATAGGTATTTGTTCATAAATAAAGGCATGAGTTATTAAAAACGATTTAAACGACTCTTTGTATAATGTGGAGTGTAAAAGTCAAAATATTAATAGATTTCTGTTAAAAAATAAACACAGGCATATTAAAATTTTAAAACAATACAAATACATATTGATATTGTTATGTTTTTAAATATATAGAGATATATTTACTTTAAATTTAAATGGTTTGTATTTTTGTGTATGTTATGGAATTAAACACATCTAAAATATTTGAGAACAATGCAATGGTTTGCCAAACCACAGTTATGGAAGTAGATGAAAGCAAATGTTCGAACAATATGCAGTAAAACGGGTATATAATTATATAGTAAGTGCATAAATTCGAAAATGTTTAGAAAACTTATTAATAACTATTGTCAATGGGTTTGAAAGTACAATTATTAATTCAAAACTGTTCGCCAACAGTTGAATATTGTTGCAAATGAGTCATATTTTTTTTGAACAATAAAGTTTACAACACTTAAAATTTAACAGTTGGTGTTCGAAAATGAATTCCAGTTTGACAATCAATTTTTACAGAAAAAAAATACTATTAGGTATTTTATAATATTTTATGAGCAAATGTTATGTCTCTCTTTTGTAAAATTGATTTGTCTATTTTCCCTTCTTGTCATTCATCTCTTCATGGTATTGCTTGATTAATTGTTTGATATAATTAAACATTGCTCATTCTGTTTTTTTATTAGTTACTATCATTGATGAACAACATCAATTACTTTTTTTTTATAGTATTTTAACGTTTGATATTGTATCTAACAAAAATTATTTAGAACATGTTATAATAAACTTTTTAATTAGTTATGTTTGGATGATGTAGAGGAAAGATCTTGAACTTTCTGTGTAAGAATTTTCAATTCCTCTTTAGCAGCCAAACTCTCCCAGTTTATTTAGATCAGAGACAATGCCCATGCCAGAATCCATGATGTTACCCATTTCATTGGTAACATCTTTTAGATCGAGTCTTGCCACATTTAAATCATCCAGATTTTTCTGGACTTTCTGCAGAAGTTGCTTCAAGTTTTTCAGTTCGTCCTTTTGATTCACCGGCGAACCAACTGACAAAAAAAGAAATTCATGGAATTGTATCAATTTACAAAATATTACAAATAAAAAATTCTTTATACTTAAATCAGAGAAAAATTATCAATGCAAACGGATTCGTTTCTTACCTTTTTGTTTTTTTGTTGAAAAACTTGAAATATTTTCGTCTGCTTTCTTCTTGCCTTTATCTACCATTTTAAAAAACATGAACAAAGCTTGAGCAGATAATTAGACTATAAAAAAAAAAAATTATATAATGATACAGATCAAGTTTTAGTAATCGTTATAAGCATGAAAGTATCATTTTAATGTATATGGAAACCGAACAGTTAGAAAACGAACAGACGTATCATAATAAATAAACTGGTCGATTGAAGAGTGTGCAAAAACTATTTGGAAATTGTGAAAGACAACGGTCATTGATATTATATCAAATTTAAAACCAAATAAATGTTAACAATTTATATTTAAATTATAATCAGTATTTTTAATTATTATAAAAGTAATGTTTGTTTAAAATCACTAAGTTTTTATTCGAATTTGAATATAATGTTATTGTAATGAAAGATGAAAAGAAAATCAGACAACATTTTCATAAGATATTATATTTTTCACTAATTATTATATTTAATTAGTGGTAATCATGTTTATTTTATTTTATATTTTTCTGTGGCAATTGGATTTCAAGAATTTATAATTGTTCATATGATAAATTATTCAGTGAAAATATTTTTTTTAATAAGAATAATATGCAATTATTATTATACCATGTGTATTCATTAAGTTTAAAATAAAATATGCAGTTATTGTTATTCTGTTTTAAAGGAATTATTATTTAAATATAAAAACACTTCCATTATTATTCTGATGTGCGGCGTCGTTTAGATTGATAAAATTTATATTTTGTTTAAACGTTGTCGTTCAATATATTTATTACTTTTAAGGACATTTTATTGCTTAAGAGTATTTAGTCAACCTGATTCAAACTCTCTAACCCTAACATATCTATTTATGTTTCCATCACACTGAATTTGTTGTGTAATTTCAAGCAAATTGATAACGTTTAACAGTTTCGTCAAAAATCTTATTAGTTTGCACAACTTTACAGTGGTAAAATTTATTTCTTTGTTTATTTGGATATGCATTTACACACAATCTATATAATAGAATATCCAAATCAAAATTAGTGATGAATTTCCATATTTGAATGGTTTGTAATCGCTTTGAACTCATGATTGTCTAAAATTTTGTTTATCATTTGTCTTGTTGGTTTGCTATAGTATTTGTTAATGCACTTTTTTAAGAAGGCACGAATAAATTTTTATACTATTATTTTTCTTTGCTAACGATTTTAGGCAGTTTGGAAATATTGTTTTTTAGGTTGATTGATGATTCTATTGTTCTGTTTTTTTATAAGTCATGAAGTGTGCTTTTAAAATTTTAGATATGGCTTTTGAAAAATTGTTGTATAAGTCATGAAGTGTGCTTTCAAAATTTTAGATATGGCTTTTGAAAAATTGCTGAAGTTTATGGATAGAGTCGAGGCCAAATCAGCATCTAATACAAGACCAAGCATTGCCATGACATTAAAGTTGATAAATCAATTACAGAGTTCTGTTTCATCTGTATCAGTGCCTAATCCTATTGTATCCCCATCTGGTTCATGTCATGCTAAAGTTATTGAAGAGAAACATGATGCAACAGAAGAGGTTCCATTATGTAGGTTTATAAAGTGACAAAAAACATCTCAACTGGAGAGTGAGAATATAAAGAATGAGAGGAAATATAGATCACTATCGACGGAAGAATTAGATAATAAGATATCTTTTGTTGGTAGTCAGGTATTATTTTTTTGGAACAATTTAATGGTCAGTTAAGTTTGTACTTTTTTAAACGTGTCTCATTGAGATTTTATCTTCTTCCCTTGTATTTTTGCAATAGGGTTTTGAACTTTGGCAAGAAGCTTGGGAGCATTGGCTGGCAGCGGAGAATGTTATTTCAAAATTGCAAAAAGAAATCGAAGTTCTGAATTCTGAATTCTGACAAACAAAAATTAGAAGTGAGAAAGGTTTTGAAAGAGAGGGTAGATAAAGTTGAAGATAACTTGAAACATATTCACAAAGCATTTAAATCTGCTGAACAATCTATTGAAAATCAACAAAAAGAAAAGGAAGTTGTGATAAAAAGATTGAATGAATTGTCTAATGAGAATAGAAAAATCCAATCTTTAGTTGTCAAAGCTGAGAAAGAGAAGAATGAAGCTGAAGATTTGGTGGTAGACATGTTTATGGCCACCAGAAAAACATGTGTAGATGCTTTCAAGTCAAAATTTCCAAATGAAGACTCTGAATTTTTTGAAAAAGTTGTGTTGAAGAAACGGCAAAATCCTTCTAATGAAGTTTGTACTAATGATAATGCTACTGAAAATGTATCTACACCATGCAATATTACTTGTACAAATAATGAAATACTATAATGCTGTTGTGAAATATTTGACAAATATTTTGTATTTGAAACTTTGCATTGTTACAGAATCAGTATCATATCTAATTTTCTATCCTGTGAAACACTTCTTTGAAAACAATATTTCGCAACTTTTCTCCTAGTTCATCTTGTTGTTGGACTAATAAGATCTTGATACCTTTTCTCGAAGTTACTCTTGATAGGGCAACATATAATTGTCAATGGGTAAATACTTAGGCTCCGTTTGTTACACTCTTGGGAATATTATTCTGGTTTTTCCCAATAAAGTTAAACAGTAAAATTGGCTTATTCTCAAAATATTATTCTATGTTATTCAATTTCTTTTAAACTCCCCTAAATTTGTTAATTTTACTAAACACCCCCAAATTTTTTTTTTAGAAATTGCAAAAACACCCTAGCAACCCACATTTACCATATTCACTGTCGAAAACTGGCCGGAATCTGGTATAATGGTGCACTACTGACTGAATCTGACTAGTAGTACACCGATCTAGCCTTTTTTGGCTAGATCCATGGTAGATCTGGCCAGAAAAAGGCCAGATCTACTTTGGCTGTAGCCAGTCGTCAATGATGACGAAGATATGGTTGTCGTTGACTATCAATGACTGTCGTATCTTTGGTTGTCATGGACGACCAAATGCGGCCAGATCTGACCGTCAATGGCCAGATCTAGCCATAGATCTGGCCTTTTCCGCCAAATCCATCGTGGATCTAGTTGGAAAATGCCATATCGACACACAACCGGTAAGATCCAGCCGATCATGCGTCGATACGGTGACTCCGGCCACCCTCCGGTAGTGATTGCTGGCTGTTCATATTTAATGGGTGGGTTGGGGGTGTTTTTGTTAACTTTTAATATTTTATTATAGGGGTGTTTAGTAAATAAACAAACATAGAGGGTATTTTTTTTAATTTCCAAATCCTACATCGTAATACCCACCCAAGTTAACCTTTTTCAAAATATTATTCTAAAAAATATCAGAATAATGAACCAAATGACCCTTGGTGTTTTACATACAATCCCACCGTTTTGAGCGATTGACCTTGACTTTTGTTTATAGTCATGCAGAAGCTAACTGCAATTGGTAATTGCCTTCTCTTCAGTCTGAAAGGCCATTTCATATCTGCATTGGAAATTGTTATTCTAGGAATCACAACATTATCACCAATATTTGATCCTGTAGTAATTGTTGCTTGTATGCCTACCACTTCCCTAGATGAGTCACAATCAATCTTGTCCCATTGCAAAGGCCATCTAATTGATTCAGATTTTGTAGCAACATAATTGGAACTCCAATTTTTAATTGCAATTCATGTTTTGGCATACCAGAGCACATTAAAGAGTTAAGGAACTCTATTGGATATAAAATGTCATCATCATTTGAAGTCCTTGCTGCTTTGCAAGTGTTGTCTGAACTGTAATAGGTCTTCAATTCTGATTGCAATTTTTGAATAATGTAGTCATTCAATTCATGTACTGTATCATTTCGGGCTGTCAATATTGCCCTCTCTCTGATATAATCAACATTGCCTATCTCAGCAGATAGATTCAAGAAAACAGCATTCACAATTCTTTCTTCTCGATTTCTATGTTGAAAAAGTTTCAAATCTTTAGGAATTTCTATAAAGCTTTCATCTTCTGATACTCCTGTTCCTTCACCAATTTGCAATAACCATCTTTCAAAAGTTGTTAACTCGTCCAATTCTGTATCACTTTGGAAATTCTTTTTCAATCTCATATTTTATGTTATCTTCAACACGGTGACATGTTTCCAAAGGGGAGATGAAGATAAACATGCCTGCATCACATCATAATTTTTCCCCTTTGGTATAACTGGTAAAATCTATTTGAAGTCTCCACCCAATGCAACAATTATGCCTCCAAATATTCTATTAGCATTTGATGGATCTTTATCAGACAAAATGTCCCTCAAAGATTTGTCAAGTGCTTCAAAGAAATACCTATTTGCCATCGGTGCTTCATCCTAAATTATCAAACATGTTGTCAAAATCAGTTTTGTCAATTGCGTTCTTTTCTTAATATCACATGTACTCTCTTTAGTTACATCCAAAGGTATCCTGAAACGTGAATGGGTTGTTCTTCCTCCTGGTAACAGCAAGGCAGTAATACCTGGCGTAGCAACAACGAGAACAATTTTACCTTCAGACCGCAATTTTGCTATTATTATTGACTCCATTTCCTTTCTTTGTCATTCCAAACCCATTCTGTTGGGAAGTCAGAATAAGTCAATGATCTCGCCTCTTCATATTGTTGATTTCATTTCATCTACTCTGTTAATTTTGTTTGAGTAACAACATTGCTCTCCAAATATTTGACTAAAATCTAATTTGGATCGAAGACGATTGTTTGTTCATTCTCCAAGTGGAAAGGAAGTCTTTCAACAGCTGGTTCTCTATAGTACATGTCAAATTGATATATTCTCCAGCAAGCCTCCATGGCAAAAATATATCTATAAATGTAGTAATTGCATTTTTCAATATTATATTTATAACTAATAACAACAAATATATTATATTTTATTCTTCTATATACATACCTGCAATTAGGGGTGTTCAAAAGTTCGGTTAACCGCTTTTTTGAACCAAACTAGTTTTTTGGTTCGGAAAAATTCCCGAACCGGTTTGGAGGGAAAACCAGTTTTTCAGTTAATCGGTTTTCCCTTTTTTTATAAATTTTTTTTTTTATTGTTTTCCTAAATTAAATTGTAAATATAAACAATACACATCTAAATAAAAATTAAACATTCATATATATCCATTGACCACTACTAACAATACATTAAAAATATTATTATTTTTTTATATAATATATATACATACATATATATATATATATATATATATATATAAAACTGGTTCAAAAAACCAGTTTTGGTTAACCGCTTTTTATTTTTTCTGAACTGGAAATCTAGTTTTTTGAATTTTTCGGACCGTAACCGAACCGTTTTTTTGGTTAACCGGTTTTTTGGTTCGGTTCGGTTTGGTCTTTGCATTTTTTGAACACCCCTACCTATAATCGACATAAGCTTTAATTTCATCCTCCTCTATAATATTCATGCATCCAGAACTCCTTTCATTATTTTTGCAACCTCATAGAAACTTTGATTCTGTCGGGTCCTTTGTTGACATACTTGAATAGATACTTGATTGATCTATGCTAGTTACAGATCTCAATGTTTATGTGACCATCGTACTTAACCGACAGATTTCTATTATAAGGAACAACAAAACGGTTGTCAATTTTGACACATTTTTTTCTCAATAAATGCTATAGTATCTCGGCTTCTATATACTGGGTACCCTTCATCATCTACAGTTGTTGCATTCACAAATTTCTTTGGAAAATATTTTTTGCATTTCCCGTTCGCCATGCAGGGTGAACTTGTATTTAAATTTCCACACGGACCATGGATATTGTAGTTTCCAACAACTACATAAGCAAGAGGATCTTTTTCTTTATCTGGTAATTTAGCAGATATCATCCTATCAATCTTCGATGACGAAGGATTCTTATATTCAGCGCAAAGGAAAATCAACTCATGCGCATGTGGGTGACCTCTTTTCTGAAATTCAATAGTATAAATAACTAGGAAATATAATAGAATATTGTTACTAATTGTTGATATATTGTAAATTTGATATTATAAATCATAAATGAACAAATAGTTTAAAAGAAAATATACATATTACTTATAACAGAACTTACTTGCCATAGTTTCACCTAAATATTTATCATTCTTTATCTCTTTCATCAGTTCAAGCAATTTCATTTTGAACACTCTACAAATAGCAATTATTCTTCCTTTTTCATCACATTGACTAATAGCATTCTGTATATATTGTATCTTTGGCCACTTTGGATTACATGTGAATGTCAAAAAAATATTAGGATATCCATCATATCTACAAATTGCCAAAGCATCTTGATAATTTTGAATACAATATCGTGGGCTGCCAGTGTGAGAGGATGGTAGCAATGTACACTTGCCTATATTCTCTGCATTAACATCCCCTTTTGAAATAGCATCCACCAATCCGCTATACAAATCACTTCTTAATTTTTTTTTTTTTTTTTCTTATCCAACGAAACATTTCCTCTTTAATAGCCATATATGCATCTACAATGTATTGTTGCAATAGTCTGTCAGATTTCATCAAAGTGTGTCCTTCATTCAATATATACTGCAATCGAAAGGCATAAAACTGTCTCATAGTCAGTTTATGCCTTGTAGAAGATTCTCTATCTCCTGATTCTCTATGCTTAATGTCAACCCTGTATCCATCCTCTCCATAAGGAAATGAAATTGGATAACCTAATGCCATAAAACTTGGATGTAAATCAGTAATTCTCTGTAAACCATTCTTTGAATGATAAACAATAACATCCTTTCCAACATCCGATAGTCCAACATCACCAACAATTATTCCTACAATTTTAGATGTAATTGGCAGATTATACTGTCTTCCATCTTTTTCTCTTTGGATTTTTAATTGCAAGTGGAGTTCAAGAACATTATTTGATTCAATATAATCCCTGGCAAACCAAAAACTTTTAACCAACTCATTGTTCCTATCAAGCATCAATTTCAATTCTTCGATCAATTCCTTGTCAACACTATTATAAGTTGCTTGCCTTCCCATACAATTCAATTTGTGACTGATTTCACAATGTGTATCATAGATGTAAAGCTGTTCAAAAGTAGGTTTCTTTCCAGCAGGTGGAAGCAATGTCCCTATACGGTGATAATTTTTCCCACAACGTTTGAAAACATATGGACCAATGTTTCTATTGATATCAGTATCAATGTCCCCTCCCATTGATGTAAATGAGAATATCGAGTTGTCTATTCTTATCTTGTTTCTGAATATTTTTCCTTTAGAACCACTATTTACATCCAATAATTCTTTCAACAGTTCATGTGGTTCTTTCAACAGTGGTAACTCAACTTTCTCATCCATACAGCATAACGAAAATACATGAGAAGTAATCTTTATGCTCTTAATTGTACGCTCTTCATACCACATGATTGCCCCCACAATGCTTGCAATGATAAGATGGTACACCAAGTTCAAAAGTTCCAAATCCACTGACAATAGAAATAACACTAACTTTAAACAACTATCAAAGATAATGATATTGTTACACAAATGAACAAACCGTAATAATTTGTTATGTAAATATATGTCTAAAGCTTATAACTTATTGTTACATATTTCTGATGGAGTAAGCTTTAATTTAGATTTTTTTTCTTACACAATAATCAGCACCTACAAAATTTTATATATGGTTTGTAATTTACTCTCTAGCTAGTAATTCTTTGAGAAATATATAATAAAATCCACTAAATAACTTTGTAAACATATATATACATAGAGGTATATAATGTAAAATCCAAAAATTCTAATTTTAATTCATTTAAATATATACACAAAATATTTGTTATACTTTAATAAGTACAAGGTAGTCTTGGACAGTGCCGGCAAACTCCTCCGCTTCTTAATGTCCCTCCCAACCATAAATCATCTAGTACTTGCAAAACAGTAAAATAACGGAGTGAGCACTAATTGCTTAGTAAGTAAACCATACTACATGACTGTTCTTCCTCCATTACTCATGTTTTGATTTTCATTTTCTCACTTTAATCTTTGCTAATATTTTTCATTCCTTTCTGATATTCTGCATTCTTTTCTGATATTCTGATTTGCTAGTTATCAACATGCAAAGACAATGAATAAAACTGTACATCGTCGGGCGCATAAGAAATACTAAATCATGTAAGTAGCATAATACATATGCAGAATAATAAACTTTCCTGAGAAAAAAAAAACTTTTTTTTTTTTATGTTATCTGTATCTTATGTTGTATCACTTTCTTTTCTTCTCCGTTTCTCTTTCTTTTCTTTATTCTATTCTGATTTGTCGATCAGACTAGGTTGATGCATGGATTTGGAACCTCGACCATGTGAGTGGGTACAGTCCTCATCTACATGCACTGCTGATGGACTGTACAACTACTGTATCTCTCTGTTGTGGCCGCTCGCTTGTGGCGGCGTGCATGTAGGTATGCTCTGTTGGGTAGAGTCATCATCCACATACACTACTGACAGACTGTACAAATATTGTATCTCTTTGTTGTGGCCTCTCGCTCGTAGCGGCGTGAATGTGGGCATCTCTGTCACTCACGGGTTCCCCATCGCAAAAACCTTATAACATAGCATGCTGTAGAAAGAGAATGGAAAGAGATACTATACACATTTCAACATGAATTTCCAAGCTATGGAAATTCTACACTTGCATTCTTTAATAAATGAGAAAATATACATACTTGCATGTTAGCTTAAAAGAAAATTACTAGCCATTTTCTTTTCTTTTCTTTCTCATTCTTTGCTAACATATTCTTTCATATTCTCATTTACTAAATCAAGGCCATATATATATATATATATATATATATATATAATCATGTGCACAATATATGCATGATCAAGCCCATTCTTTAATATGCTTTCCAAGTTCATATATACAAACTTGCAAATTCATTATGGCATAATGGTATGTCATGGCATATTCTACCATTCTCTACTATCACAATTGCCATATCAAAGTAATACTTTAACTTGCAATCCTTCTCTAACACTTCCATGTGCATTTCAAGAAGTAGTAAAGGTTCAAGTAACTAGAACCAAGCACTAAGGTTCATTTCTCTCATGGAACAACA